TACTGTATATATGTATATATATATATATATATATATATATATATATATATATATATATATAGGCAGAGTGCTATTAAAACAAAGACAAGGGAGACTGGAATGGCCATTTCTGGCTTATTAGCCGTCGTCAGCCAGCCATACCCAAGCCCGAAGTGTGGAACACCCGAGCCTCGAACTCGCGACCTGTTAGCTACAAGTCCACGCCTCTAACCACTGAGCCACGAGCCCGTTGCTCTGTTGGTTCGATCGGGAATATGCAATGGTAGGGGGCGCTGACCAATCGCTCTTACGGAATTCACTCGTTCGCTACAAGACCTATCCCTCCTTTGAGTGAGCGTTCCACCTCACGGACACACATGCTACCTCTTACGTTTTCTGTCGCCACCCGCACTTAGAAAGGGTTCGACGCCGGTCTAACCCCCACAGCAGACTTCAAAAATGCCCGTGAAGTCCTCCTGCAACTCTTCGCCAGCCCCGACGCCTCGGCTATAGCGAACCAGAGGTTGGCCACACTAAGACAACGGCCCGGCCAGTCAGTTGGCGATTTCGCCCACGACCTACGTCGGCTGGCCGCAACGGCATTGGCCAACCTGTCAGAAAGCAACCGCGACCTCCCTTCATCCTCAACACAGACGCCAGCGGCTTTGCCACTGGCGCAGTATTGTCCCAAACGGACTGTCAGGGCGTCGAACATCACGTCTGTTTCGCCAGTAACACGTTGACGAAGGCTCAGCGGAACCACTGCACGTTCATACGGCAGTTCGAGCACCTCCTTATTGGGCGCCGTTTCATACTACGTACAGATCACAAGGCTTTGCGATGGCTTCAGTCCAACAAAGACCCTATGGACCAACTCGCCTGATGGCAAGAATTTCCGAAGGATTTCGATTTCGAATGCCAATTCCGGCCTGGGCATAAACACGGCAACGCCGACGCCCTCTCCCGACTACCAAACCCGAAAACCATGCGACTTCCGTTAACGCCATTACAATGTCGGAAACTACCCGCCACACCTGGGCAGAAGCACAACGTACTGACCCTGACACCTCCACCATTTACCGCCACTTGATGAACAACCTCAATAAACCCCTGGAAGCCGACATGCGAGGATCCAGCCATAACGCATGCATCCTACTACACCAGTGGCCACACCTCCTGTTGGACAATGACATTTTGTTCCTGCGGGATTCCGCGTCCCAACGTCTTCGCCCCGTGGTACCCGGGTGCCTCGTCGAATCCGTTCTGGCCGACCTTCACGCCGAGCTGGGTCACTGTGGACAGAAACGCACTGAACTAGCCGCACACGCGAGGTTCTGGTGGCCGCAACTCCGAGCGTCCATCTACCACTTCCGCCAGTCCTGTGATACATGCGCATCCTTAGTCCCCAAAAAAGACGGTTCCCTCCGTCTCTGCACAGACTATCGCCGCCTGAATGCCGTCACTGTCCGTGACTCATTTCCCTTGCCGCGTCTCGACGACACCCTAGACAGCCTTGGCGGAGCAGCCTGGTTCTCGACCCTGGACCTTAAGTCAGGCTATTGGCAGGTCGAGATCGATCCCAAAGACCGCATTTATCGTTCCACAAGGGCTGTTCGAATTCCAGACGCTTCCTTTCGGACTATGTAACGCCGCCGCCACGTTCCAACGATTGATGTACCAGGTGTTACGACACCTTGTCCCTCACAAATGCCTCGTATATCTGGACGACATCATCGTTTTCGGACCCGATGTTGAACAACACAACCGCAATTTAAGAGGTGTTAGAAGCCCTCCGCGATGCGGGCCTGACCCTGAACCCGGCCAAGTGCACATTCCTAAGGCCAGAAGTACAATTTCTGGGCCATAAGATTTCCCCAGGGCGCATAGCCGCTCTACCGGACCGCTTACAACAGATCCGTACATGGCCGACCCCCGCCAACCAGACGCAGCTGCGCAGTTTCCTCAGACTTGCCTCCTATTACCGACGGTTTCTCCGTAATTCCACCCACATTGCCGGCCCTCTCCACAAGCTGACAGAGAAAGGTAGGGAATTCAGATGGTCCCCAGAATGTGAAGAGGCCTTTACTAACCTACGTGCCGCCCTTGTATCCGCCCCACTTCAAGCCCTCCCGAACGTCGATCATGACGTCCCTCCTTTTATCCTCGATATAGATGCCAGCGGCTTTGCCATCGGTGCAGTATTGTCACAGACTCCCAGGGCGTCGAACATCCCGTCTGCTTTTCGAGTAACACGCTGACGAAGGCTCAGCGGAACTACTGCACATTCCGCAGAGAGCTATTAGCTATAATCACATTTATACGGCAGTTCAAACATCTACTTATTGGACGCCGTTCCATACTTCTAACCGATCACAAGGCCTTGCAGTGGCTTCAGTCCATTGAAGACCCTAGGGACCAGCTCGCCCGTTGGCAAGAATTTCTGAAGGATTTCGATTTCGAATGCCAATTCCGGCCCGGTCATAAGCAAGGCAACGCCTATGACCTCTCCCGATTACCTGATTCCCCGTCCATCGAAACTGAAACCCACACAGCGTCGGTTAACGCCAATACGATGTCAGAAACCACCCGCCACACCTGGCAGACGCCCAGCGTACCAACCCCGATACCGCCACTATTTACCATCACTTGACAAACAATTTCAACAAACCCCTGAAAGACTAAATGAGAGGATCCAGTCAGAACGCGAGCATTCTTCTACACCAATGGCCTCACCTCCTGGTAGACAATGACATTTTGTTTCTACGGGACCCCGTGTCCAAACGCCTCCGTACTGGCCGACCTTCAGCCGAGTTGGGTCATTGCGGGGCAGAAGCGCACTGAAATAGCCGCACGCGCAAGGTTCTGGTGGCCACAGCCTCGAGCGTCCACTCACCACTTTTGCAAATCCTGCGATACATGCGCGTCCTTTAAATCACCTGCACCAGCACCCCGAGCTCCCATACAACCCATGACCACGGGTTTCCCAGGAGAACGCGTAGGGCCGGACATTATCGGCCCCCTCCCGATATTCGTACGCGGGTACGAATAAATACTAGTGTTGATTGACTACTTCACGAAATGGGTCGAAGTGGTGCCCCTACTCTGCCAAAATGCCACCTCCGTCGCCAACCGCCGTCCGACTGGGACAACCGCCGTAAGGTGTGGTCAGCCAAATTCCATTACCTGTGGCAAGAGCCATTTGTCGTCTTAGATACCCTGTGCCCCACGACCTATCTCTTATGTGACGCTTCCCAACCCCACGCACCACCCTTCCCAACGAACCTCAGAAAAGTCAAACTTTACCGCGACCGTCTACCCATCTGCATACCCATTATCCCACATAACCAAGTCCCCCCGACCGCGGTCGAAATCATTATACCCTCCCCCAATCATACACAGCAGCACTGAGGACAGTGCTGGATCTTCAGAGGGGGGCTCTGTAACGCCCCAGCAGAAGTGACAGAAGGAAACCCCTTTGTTTTAATCGATTATTAGTCTTTTGGAGATCGATCGTGATATCTGATCGTGTGCGGACCACCATCGGCCTCCGTCAGCTCCATAAGTTGAACCTATTCGCAGTTTTGAAGTTTCGTTACTTCCCTCTGTTTTCCATGTCCCATGTTTTGCATATATACTTGTACTGACAGAGTTCCCGATATTGCCGTTCCTGACTACTTTTCCATTGTTCGTTATCGTTCTGGTTCTGCTAACTTGGCTAAAGAATCGATATCAAACTAGACGTTGCCTCTCGCATTTCAATAAGTCGTAAAAATGCCTATATTCCAATACTTTTATTAAAATCACAAAAAAAACATCT